TTATATAGCGACGCAATTTTTGGAGGCGATTCGTCGCAGTTCCCTCGAGTAATCTTTCAGCCCTGACGGAATATACAATACGTCGTGTGGGAGCAGTACTTGGAGATGATAGTGCGGAAGAAACGGGGACTGTGTTCCGGACAAAACGATTCAAGTGAAGATTGTGGACTATGCCGGAACTTTAAAAAGCATCTTTCGGCACCACCATGGCTTGTCCCAAACAGCCTTTATCTGTTGCAATTCGACGGCTAGATCCATTAACATGAGTTCAACATTAGTCCATCCATTTCTCTTCACCTCAATTCTCTTTATATTTTGTTTTGTTTTGATAGCTAAAATCTTTAACTTTCTTATTTGCTACTGGACAACATTTAATTTAGGGTAAAGGAATCGTTGCTTTGCTTAATTGTATTATTTGATTATATATGGCTCCATCCCTATGCAAATGTGGATTAGGCAATTAATCAGGTAGAGTATCAACCTCTTGCACTTGAATTCGATCCCTTCGTCTGGGTTTGAATGCTCAATACATCTCCTATAGGAAAAAAAAAGGAGATTGGCAAATACCTACGTGAATGCACTTAAAGAACTGCAGATTTTGACCGCATTGTACCTTTATTTCTGGCTATTTATATGAATGGCATAAAGAAGGACAGGGCATATCTCCCTTTTTTTTTTTTGGGGGGAGAGGGAATAAGATGCAGCAGCACCTCACGAATTTCTTACTGATCATTTTTTAAATCTCAATTAAGATGATCATTTTCATTCAGCATCATGTCGATATCTTATAGTTATTATAAGTTTTAATCGATATGTCGCAGATATTAATTTAATCATCTCAACTATTAGGATTATTTCTGATTGTTTTAGCTAATTTCTCTTAAAGGGGATATTATACATACATGATACATATACATATATATATATATATATATATAATATATAACTCCATATATAGCTGGACAGAAGCTGTGTATATTTTCTCCATATGAGGATGTAAGATTGTGTTTTATTTTTTAATGTTCTTGTTTTTGTTTTTCTATGTAGGGTATGATATGGAAGATGCAGAAATGATGGAGCATGGGTTTGAATTTTCAATCATATTCTTCTGCAGGAGTGGAACGTGCAAGCTGATGGCGGAGAAACTTCATGCGTTATCGTATTTATATTTGATTGGGCAGTGTTTTCACATATTTTTTTTACTTTTTCACGTATCTTCTATTAATTTATAAGGAAAACTAATGAAAATTGTTTGAAAACTTTGAGTTTTAATGACAAGGACTAAATAAAGGGTAAAGTGAATAGTAATAAATTGACTTTTAGTGTAAATATGCGGTTTTTCGTTAAAGTGAACAGTACCGGGAGCTTTTCGTTAAAAGTTTTTTTTAAATCCTTTGATTTTCTTCAACTTATTGTTTGATATATGTAACAATCCGCAATAAAATAAATATGCTAATAATAAATACGAATAATATATTCCAAAGACTCAACAAGATGAAATATTAATTAAGCATAGTAAAAAATATCGAGGCTTATGTACCGCAATGTCTTTGAAACATAAATTTCGCCCCTACTCAGTGCTTGTAGTTCTACGGACGTCTGCTTCACTAGGATTCAAAGATCTAAGTCAGAAATTCAGAACTGGAAATTGACTTCTGACGAATATTCATGTGGTTCTCTCAACAAGGATGTTTATGATTGCATGAGAAGATTTATGATTTTTTCTGTGTTATAAATGTTATGCAGATAGATGTATATATAATGTGATTATACATGTTCGCAACAAGTATAAGGAAATGATGCATCTGTTGGGAGACATCTACTGAAAATGGTGTTTTTGTTTCTGTGTTTTTCACACTTCAGACTTCATCTGAAAAAATGAAAAATAATTAATTAATTTAAATTCGAAATTAAAAATAATTAATTAATTCCAAAAATAAATAATTAATTTAATTATTAGAGCCCCAATGCCCAAGGCCCATCTTTGACAATTAAATATATATTAATTACCAATTAATTAGTACACCTCAAAGCCCAACCCCAAGGGTGAGCCGAATTTAGTCTTCACCTATTACTCCAATAATTTCTATAAGGGATAAAACCTTATAAAGTGATAAAATCTTTTGGAATGACCAATGTAGGACAAAAAAATTTCTACTCACACTACTCAAATTTCCAACACTTATTCGATTCGACGGTCAAAAATTATGAAGAGTATGAAAGGTAAAAAATTGTAGATTTAAACCAATGGAAATTTTGATACAGGAGAATCTAAAACCTTTTGAATTTTGTTTGGTCATCCGTAAATTGTAGATTTAAACAAATGGAAATTTGATTATTTTGTTAAACGGTGTGTACAAAAATATGTCATTTTCTATTTTATTCTTCGTTATATATGTAATACTTTTCATTACCCAGGAACTTTCCTGCTGCTTGCTGCTCTTTGGAAGCTACCATATCTTGTCGACTTGTCTATGTTTGGTGGTGT